CATCGGTTTTCCGAATCTTTGTGGAGAGATGGCCGTGTATTCAATGCCAAAATGCCTCCCAAATGCAGAGTCCAAATAAGACGCTGGGTATGCCGCAACATTCTCGTGGACAAACCAATCAGGCCTCAGACAAGCAAAAGCAAAATAGCAACAACAAATGACAACAGAAACAAACAAGAAGTCGCAAACAACAATGATTGGCCAAGGGGCTTGACCTGCTGCTTGTCCTTTACCCAAACGTCATGCACCACACGCTTCTCTGGGTTCGACATGCCTTCTTGTTTTCCCATCCTTACCAAAGATTGCTGGTGATGGCTTGCCCTTGATGGGCAAACATGTATTTGCAGTCTACCGACACCATCATCAGTCAAGCGTCAACGAAAATGCAACACACGGTGGGCCCTCGACGTTGATAAGGTCCTCGTTCAACTTGGGTTCAGGCTTGCGAGGGCATTTCCCATTGTGTGTCAAGCATTCAGCGGCTCCAACCTGGTTTGTCATACATGAAACAGCAAATCAGACACATGTTGCATCCAACTTTTGGATATTTTGGATAACCTTTTTGCCCAACAGCCATGGGGCCAATCTCATCTTCTCAAGTGGGACATCCGGATTGGAGACAAAGTTCTTGATGTTGCTGAACACACAGCGATCAGGAAAGTTCGCCTGGAGATACCTGAAGCCCATGGGTTTGAGATACCATGAGATACCAATGCAAAACAAAGAATGTCCAAAAGGTTGCAAAGAAAAGGCTTGCAGACATCACTTAGTGGCATCCGAGAAGGCTTCGCTATGTCACACGCACGGCCAGTAGCAAACTGAAGCTCAATATCATACCTTTTCGTTGTCATGTTGAACAACGGTAACGACTCCTTCCATACGTTGAACAAGTCAAACAAATGAAAGAACACAAGTTGCAAAGTCCCGTCCCAGCTTCCTTTTTTTGACAGCTGCCTGAAGTTGCTCCATCGCTGCGTGTGGAAAATCTGCTCCAGTAAACCAAGAGTCCATGCGCAGTTTAGCTTCCCTCAACTTTTGCTCAACCTTCGTGACTCCGAAGAGAGACCTTGAGAATTCCACCACTGAGTGACCCTGGGTTGTTTAGGTTTTTGGCTTGCAAGGAATCAGACACTGCTTCAAACTTGGACCATCCAAGGTGCTCGAACCGTGCCAGTAGTTTGGTCGCCCAGTCAAACAGCATCACAAATTTTGATGGTGTGGAAAGCCTCAAACTCAAGATTTGGTCATGGAGGTTTTGATTAGAACCCTGTTTTGAAAAAAGAACTCGTCATAAGACATGGTGTTTCTTTTTTCGATGGGCAACAGTTCTGGCATCCTTTGAACCATCTCTGGATCCGGATCATCGAGCCCATCATCATCATAGTCTCCAGGAACTCCTTTGCGTCCTTGGCTGAGGCTTCTGTTTTGACTTCATATTATGTGCAATTTATATATAGAGTTCTGATCTGAAAAGGAAGCAGAAAAGGACAAAGGTTTCTACAGCAGCTTTAGTTTCCTGATTCTGCATCTGTTTCCGGGGCATCATCTTCGTCGCACTCGTCTTGGAACAGCTTTGGAGCGTCCTAGACTGTCACAACTGCAGACCAACACATCACTTTTCTCAATCAAATACATCCCTTTGTCCAACCATTCCTCAGTCCTCCGAGTCGGAATCCAGCAGTGACGATCTATGAGAGGCTGGACGACGGCGAACCATGTGCCCTTTCAGCCTGCCTTTTGAGCCTGAAAATGGTCCTGAACTGAACCTGTGAAAGCAAGTGAGGAACCACTCAAAACACGTCCTGAGTAAAAGTCAAACTGAGAGGTACAATTGATTTTCGCCTGTGCGGAAGAAGGCTCTTGTTCGGCCTGTGCGATCTGGCGCCACCAAGGATCAATGAACTTGAACATCCAGCGGTCGCCAATCAAGCTCCTTAGCCAACCAGGTATCATTTTTGTCAGATACAACTTGGGTCTTACCATGCAAACAAGAAGTCTTGAACATGAAATTGGTCAGGGTGCTTGTCAGAAAGCAGGATCCAATGTCCTGAACAGCTCCCTGCGCTCTGGTCCATCAGGCAGTCCCTCTGCCCAGGTAACATTCCTCAGGTCTTTTGGAAAAAGCTAGGATCTGATGATCTGGTCATTTACTAGTCATGACAAAGCTAGGAATTTCAGCAAGTGTCTGGAAATACAGTTTTTCGAGATCATCCTTGAAGTCATAGTCCGCCAACCGAAATACTGTGACCACCAAAGCTCCATTATCAGTCCGATAAGGTTTCTCCTCCAGGAAAGCTGAAGTCCAGGGATTTGTCCAGCGATACTCCCGGCCAATCCTCCCCACATTCGGCTTATCCTCAACAGCATAGATGGTGTCCTGGGCACGTTGGGGCAAATGTCATTCAAAGGTTAGTTGATCTATATATATATATATATAATTTTTAGCCAACTCAATTGCGACTCTGTCTCGTCAATGTGCCGTGAAAAGGCCCAACGCAGCAAATCCTGGCGTTCAAAATCGTAAGCCATCACCAGCTCGAACTTGTCCTCTTTGTCAAATTCTGCGATCTTAGCCCACATCTGGTACGGCTTTGGCTCTGGCCATGACTTGTCCCATTGGAAAGTCACGTATTCATAGCGTCGCATAGGAAAACGACCTCCGAGAGGCCACGGCAGCCCTTAGTGCGTGGCATGTTTTCATCAGTGGCATCTTGTCATCAAAACAACAGTGTGACAGGTATTTTTCGATCCAGTCTCATTGCAGTGAAGGTGTCCAAAATCTCTTTCTGAAAATCCATTTTTTCCAGCGCAACTTTTACTTGCCAGCTGACGCTAACATTGTGCATCACATTGTTGACCACATGGTTGCTGCAATAGCGAATCTTCTTGTTGGGCGCCATTGCCATTGAGGAACAGCTCGTGATTTGCACGCGTGTACGTTTCTACTTTGTTGCGCTCTTCTTGTGCTAAATTGTGTGTGTGTGTTTTGTCAAAGTGGTCTCACTTCCAAACATTGCATGACGTTCACTCAAAGCCAGCAAAGCACACCGGCAAGGATTCTAACTCTACCTGAAAAAACTCAAACTTGGTTTCAAAAGGTTTTGAACGTTTTAAGTTACGAAAGCTAGGAACAGGTTATGACCTCGAGTGATCTCCACCCAGGTTATGACTTCCAGTGATCTCCACCCAGGTTATGACTTCGAGTGATCTCCACCCAGGTTATGACTTCGAGTGATCTTCACCCAGGTTATGACTTCGAGTGATTTCCACCCAGGTTATGACTTCGAGTGATCTCCACCCTGACCAGAGTTTTGTAAACATGCCCTCCATCCCTTTTGTCATTTTCAATGATATCAGCTCCATATGATGTTGACATCTTGACAGCTGTTTGCCATGAACTGACAGCTGGTTACCATGAATTTAACTTCCTCCACGTCACGGCATGGAGCACGGCGAAGGCAATCCCCCCAGCACGTCTCGAACAATGCCCTGCACCCAGGCGCGTGCACGGGCCTTCCGTGCGGCCGCGGTGCCTTCCGTCCCTGGCGTCTGCGGGACTGTCCTGAGGAGTCAAGGTGCCAACCGCTGCCCTGAGCAGCTTGGACACCATGTCCACCCCTTTGGCCTGGTGGGCCGACATGCTGACGCTCTTTAAGGCACCTCGTCATCCAATCCGGCCCATTTGATGCAGTCTTTCCAGCTCTCTCGCGTCGTCGCGTCGGAGGGCTGTCGTGGAAGGCACGGTCGAGGACGTCGGTGCTGAGCCGAAGGTCGCTTTCCGATTCTCCGCCGCGGCTTTCACCGTTCGTTGTTCATCGTCCGAACATGTGACTTTTCTTTTCGAAAACACATGCCGGAACATATGCCAGCAAGGACGTCATAACACCGTCCAGAACATGTCCCACCCTTTATGATAGATGTGTGTCAGAACACACAGACTTGATGCCAGAACAAGTGTCAGAACATGGTGTCAATGCACATGTCAGGCACTGTTGGTCAGGAGAGCCTGTCAATACATGGCTCACTTGAGTCATATAAAGTAATTTTGCTTTGTCTTGTTCTTTGAGTTTGTATGTTTTGTCCTTGAAAGGCCCTGCCTGAGGCCTGTTGTAGAGTGAATTGCACAACGCCCCTGAAATTCACAGATCACAACAAGCCTTCATGGATCTTCATGGACCATCCTGGAATCCTGTCTGGGTGTCCTGGCTGGAGAGTAGTGGTCTGTGTAGTCCAGCCAGTGCACCCAAAGATGACTCTCTGAGTTTCCCTGGAAAAGAAGGGTCTGTCCTATCCAGATATGTGCTTCTTTGAGACCTCAGACAGAGATGACCAACAATCACCGGACACCTTGGCGCGACCAGGAGCCGACGAGCCGATATCGCCCTTCACTCAAAACCTGATCCGACCGACCTCATGTTCGTATTGTCGAGTTACATTTAAAAGCATCTAAAACCACCAGTCATGTGGGCCATATTGGCAGTTTGATGGGTCGCGTGTGGGATTGGCACCTCTCCCGGAAGGGCAACGAGACATGATCAAACTGGACACCTAGCCGTCCACTGCTAGAGGAGCCCCCAAAAAGTCTTCTGCCAGTCAGGCGCCTTTTGGGTTCGGGAGATGAAGCTTGCTCAAAAGACATGGCAAGAGCTCCCACCATCTGACCCTAGGGCTCCTGGCCTATCTCCTCAGGTTCTGGGCACAAACCCCCGGGCACCCACCCCATCGAAACGGAGGTGGGCCAGGAGCCCTAGGGTGAGTGTGGAAAACAAATCTGATGTCCCTGATGAGTTCACAGGTTTCCTGGGCCACACTTGGAGAATTCTACACTGCACAAGGTGGAGTTTCACTTGCCGCAATACAGTGTCCCTTCATGTTGGTTCATCAGCATTCATTACTTGGGCACCATATAGACGGTACTCTTCAGCCCTTTCTCCAAAGAATCACTCGCACCATTTCGCACCCATCGAACAACACCCTTCCTTTCTCTGCCGCAAAGACGCATCCCATGTGCACCGACAAAAGCCCGGACGCATCCTGCCCATCCGCCGGTGCCGCTTTCGGGCGTCCAACCAGGAGAGCCCCCCGTGTTGCGCATCGGGCTATCCAGAGAACACCGATGCTTGGTCGGTTTGGACTCAAGCTTGGTCCAGGAGGCCGAGGCTCAAATACTCGCACCCCGAGCTGTGGAGTGACCTCCTGAAAAAAATGCTCGGTTCACCTAACAGGGTCCACCTCTTCATGTTCAGTGGGCTTCCCCGATTCCCCAATGAAGGCGCAGGTTGATCAACTTTTCACTCCTGGGTGGACTGGGACAAGCTGCTCAGCCGGACGAAATCAGTGCGATTCTGTGAAACCAATCACTGGTTACCGGTCGCAGACCATCCAGCATATGGAATTGTTACTTATACTACAATTATAGGGATCATCTGGGTCCATAAATGGGATAAATGCATGCAACTGTTCCATCTGGGGGGTGGCAACGAAATCCACTTCTTGATCTCTTTGCGCAACCCTGCCCACAGTTGAATCATCTCTGGTTGAATCCTTGAATCATGTTGAATCCCATCTTATCCCACACATCCCTTGTCCATTTGTGTTGGGACCCAGGTGTTAAGGTTCTCCCCTTGTTTGGGTTCCCCCCACCTCTCCAACCATCCACCCCCGGCCCCCCAGGCGAACGCCCCGGCACCGGGGCGCTGCCGGTGTCATCGTGTCGGAACTCGAGTTAACGACCCCACGAGGAGGTCGCAGAATCGGACGATGGTGCATCCAACCGAGAAAAAAACAAAAAAGCACAGCGATTGGAGGCTTGGAGGGGATCAAATTGATGTGACGTGTATTGTGAAACATATCTGTAGTTGCCATAGTGGTTGATGGGGTCGGTTTCTACTGTGGTGTTTGGGGGGGTTCAAAATTGCCGGCCAACATGCCCTGGTCCACGATCAAAAACAAAAAACAAAAACAAATCAGAAGCACATTTAATGTGCACTGTATATATAGTATATATAATATAATAATTATACATATTCTCTTGATTATATTAGACCCCCCATATGAAAAGCTTTTTTGGACATCCCTTACCACCAATCGGCACCTGCAGGATGTCCTGGTATAGATTTTACAAAGAACAAAGAACAATTCCATGCACTTCCCGCCCCCTCACCTCCCACCCCTTCACCCCTGGACCCCTTTCATCTGTGCTTTCTCTCCTCAGCATCCACGGCCAGGCTGGGACCCTTCATGCCCAAGCAAAAGCTAAACCTGGACCGGCGCGGCGTCGTCCCGCTGGGCGGCACCGTGCGTCCGACTCATGGAATCCGACTCATCAGGCTGCGGTGGTTGACTTGTCGGGGGTCAACAACAAGTAGTGACTAAGTAGTGTAAAGCTACCTGGACCCTCCAAGGGGTGTGCAATAGACTACCCCACACTACCTATAGGCTTCCAGACAGGGCACCCCGACAGGAGGGTCCTGGAAAATGCAACATGTCTGCCTTTTCATCTATAAGGCAAACATTTTGGTACTACAGTCCAGGTTCGTTGGCCCTTTTCAGAAGTGGCCCATCTGTCTCTTCCCTGTGAAGATCCTCTTCCAGTCCCAGTCAGGGGGACACTCCGTAACAGGTCCTCGTCCGTCAGTCCGGGCACCACCAACGATCCACCTGGTTGGGGCCAACGACCCACCCTGCATCCATACCTCCCAGACGCGACCCGAAGCCCGCCGACCCCGTTGGGCAACTGCTACATGTTGGTGAAGGCTCCATGTCACCCGTGCGTTGGTTTCGGGTCAAAAGCCTTAGCGAACGGGTTGGGTCCAATAAGCCCCAGGAACCCTTGGACCCTCCACGCGGGACCCGTGGGGCTTTGGAACTCTCTCCTCTTCAAGAGGGGTCTGGTACCTGGTTCCCCCCCTCCCATTGGAGAAAGGCTGACAGGATGACCTTAGGGTAACCCAGCGACCGCGCGGCCGCGCAACGACTCGCCCGCGCGAACGACGCGCCCAGCGCCGCACCAACGAAGCACAGCTCGGCGTTCCACCGAACCCCGGGTCATCAGAGGTCCGGTCCCTTCCCCCTTGGTGTTTCAGTGTCGAGCCGGACTTGAAGTGAAGGACTTGTAAGCTGCAGTCACAGTCGACGGGGTGCCGAGAACGGTCCGGAGACGTAGGGGTGCCCCTGTCACGTCACGTCACGTCACGTGGCATGGCGGATGGGACTCAACACATCTCGAACACCGACATAGAAGGGTCTCCTTGTAGGACCCCTTGTGACTCCTGAAGGAGACCCCTGAAGGACTCCTTGTAGCATCCTGTATGGGTGACTCCTTGTAGAAGGGTCCTTCAGGGGTCTCCGTCTCAACCCCGGCGAGTATCGGCTGCGAGTGTCTGTATTGCCCCTCTCCACCTGTCCTCCGAAGTTGCTCCAGGAACACCCGGAGTCACACCCTACAAATCAGGAACTGACCGGAAATACTGGAGATGGTCATACAAAAACAATACTTAAGGAGATAAAAGACAAGGTTTTACTGGGTCAAACTGGACTTGTAGGGACGGCATCAGTCCCTTTCCAGTTTCCAGGAGTCACCCAGTAACCGGGATATAAGGCTGTGATTGGTTTTTCAAGACCTGGGCCCCGGATGGAGGAAATGACCTGGTTGAGGAAATCAATGTATTATATATTTTCTCCGACTCTCCGAGGATTCACCAATATCAATGATTTCTGCAAAACAACAGGTCATTTCCTCAAGTGTCATCACTGAATGGTTTCTCTTTTCCCTTGCCATTCGGGGTGCACGGGGAGCTCCCATGGTCACCTTCCGAGGTTTCTGGAAGATGGATACTGCGGGTTTCTGAGCTCCACCTGTCATTCACATCCACCAAAAGGAGTTGGACAAAACTAGGTCTGGTCTATGGTCTATGGCCAAATGTGCCCGGTCACTATAGTTGCTACAGCTGGTCACTATACCAGGACCTTCAAAGTGACTGTCCTGAATGAGGTCACTCGGGAAGAGGCCACCAACAAAGACTCCAAAGAGTTCACACACTGAAGGTACCAGGGACCCCAACTGTTCGTTCGCTGTCTTTATAAATAGCCATTTAGCTCGAGGTGAGGAACGGGGTGTCCCAAAAAAGACACCGAACTGCGCTGGGCCCTGGTGACCTTTGGGTGGACCATCACCACCTTTACCAGGTCTCTCCATCACCATCACCACCTCGCCACCGTGCCTGTTCGCCGTGATGGCCGCGGACCCGCCGGTGGCCCCGAAGGAGCCCTCGGCCGCACTGTCGCCCGCGCGCTCGACGTGACCTCGGCAAACGGGCGGAGGAGGGATGGCATGGGGAGAGGTACGGCGCGAACGAATGGTTTTTTCGAACGAATGGGGTGCTGGATGGGCGGCCCATTTTTCGATGTTCCTGGGAGGAACACAGGCCAGAATTGAAATAATTACACACCCAGAGACTGATGATACCTGGGACTTGACGGACCGTTAAGTACCGTCAGAAGAACGTCATGCAGGATCCAAGCAGATCCCATTCCGGTCACATGCCGAGTCTTACAAACCAAAAAAAACATTGTTTTCCGGACCTTGGACGACAAAATCAGGTCCACCAGTGTTGAAATGGTGGAATTGAAGGCTGAAGGCTACCCTGAAAAAGGGTAGTACTGAGGATGCTGCGACTATTTTAAAAACCATAGATTGGATATATGTTTAGGGTTTAGGGTTACTGTTTGAGTTCGTTCTCCCGCAGCACCCGAACCAATCGTCGAACCTTGTACGACATCAGGAACTTCAACACTCGGGCACGGGCGAACGAAAGGTCTCACTTGCTCCAAGCAAAGACTCCATCCCAACCAGACCATGCAAATAACAAATCAATTCAGACTCCGCAAAGCCAGCAGCTGCCTGCAACATCTATCCCATTCCCCGCTGGAAATCAACGCGCTCTGAAGACACGCGTACGTTCTGCGAGAGTTTCGGGACACCAGTTCGCGCCAGGTGGCCAAAGTCGGAGTTTCCCGTACCGTAGCCCAAATACCTGGGTTTGGTCCGTCTCGAACCCGGGCCATTTTTTGTGCAGTGTCTAAGAACTATGTGCAGGACTTTGAAACTATCCAGACGCTCACACACCTTGGGTCCCTGGGTCCCTCAAAACCTTGTAAGGACTTCAAAAAACCGGATTCAGGCCAAGCACGTGTTTAAATGGTCTTCTCGGGCGACGGCCACACCACAACGGTCAAAACCAGACCTGGAGTCCTGGAGCAAGTTCTCCCCGCAAAAAGTGACTCCGTAGCCGTTGAAAAATGACTGGGAAAAAGCATTATCCCGGCAAAAGACCCCAAACAGTGTGTGTGAGGTTTAGAGGTGTAGCAGCAGAAAGTCTAGAGATCTAGACGCATTGGGGTCCAGAGCAGTGATGGTGGTGATGAAGGCGTGCGTGAGAGAGTGAGAGTGAGGGAGTGAGAGTGAGAGAATGAGCGAGTGAGAGAATGAGCGAGTGAGAGTCCCTCACTCTCACTCTCTCACTCTCACTTTCTCACTCTCACCCTCACTCACACTCACGTTCACTCTGTCACTCTCTCACTCTCCCTCTCCCTCTCACTCACGCACAGAAGAATATGAAAGAACTTGAAGCCGAGTGTCAGGTAGTTGCCCGCTCGGTTGTCACATATCGATTCCCAGCTGAACGTCGACGCTTCTTGAAGAATCAGTCGAGCAAAAGTGATGCAGCACATCCAACACGCAAAAGAATCCGAAGCGAAACCATCCACACATATCCACATGAAACCCTATACTGTCTCCTCCTCAAGGTCGATCACGGCACCCTTCTTCGTGGTTAAGCTTGAAGATGCCTTCAACGAAGAAGCCATGCTTCACATATCTTCGCATCATGAATGAAAGAGAATACGAGAAACAATCTAAAACATATCCGCCCGGCGGTGGTGCATCTTCGAAAAGAAGACCAAGGTGCACCACAGCACAGCTGCAAAGCAGCTCTGCTCAAATGCATTGCCCGCCAAATCCCTCAAAAGGCTGTCCGACATTCCCTCAAGTCGGGAATTCCAGAGTCCAGCCAAAGTCCCTGAAGCCTCAGACACTCCAAACCCAGGGCCGTGGAACTGGTGGAGGGGCCGGCCGAGGCTTGGATTTGACTTTTGGCGGAACGGCCTGCAGGATAAAGACACGTGACAAACATGGCTTGCTTCCCTTCGTTCATGCACTGGAAAAGAACAAAAAGACACGGCGCACCTTGGGCGTCTGGGCCACACGTGGATCTGCTGTCGCCTGTGCCCCAATCAGTTCAACCGCAATTGAAGCCAATCATTCTGAAGACAAGCCAAGTTGTGCAAGGTGACCAGAATGCCTTCGGCGGCGGATGATCTGGTGGTTTAGGAGCACCAGCCTGCACCAACAAGTCGAAGTCGAAGAGTAGGAAAACCTATACACACACCGAAGCCGGTCTCACCTTCACCACAGGCGGATCCTTCACCACAGTCACAGGCATCGGAGGTGGAGGCGGAAACTTGGCTTCTGCAGGAGCCTGCGCATCAGAAATTAATTCAGCATATTTTGCTGTAGTACTTTGTTGATTCTGAGAGAAATATATTGTTCACAGTCTTTAAGTTTGGTTCATCATCTGTCTTTTTTTCATATTTCCACATCTTGGAAGAGCTATTATATCGCCCAAACAGAAGTCGCCTGTGGTGGAGCCGTCGGTGCGGGGGTCCCAGATGCCTGAAAAATTAATCAAATCTTAGTCTGAGTCTGAGCTCAAATCTTGGTGATTTATAAGGGCGCAGCCGATATCATCCGCTGCTCAGACTCTGCACTTTGAGGTTGACAAAGTGCTGCGCCTGCCACGAAACCTGCAAACGAGCCACATGTCCCAAACTTACGATTCACTGCACCTGTCACGAAATTAGAGCGTGTCGAAGATCACTACCATTTCCAATGTGCTGGCTGCACCTGCCACGAAATCTGGATGGACACGCCCGCGCGACACCTCCGATTAGACACCGGTGCTTAACCCATACCGTAAGAACCCCTAGTGTGACCACACTGTTTGGGGAAATATAATATACATATATAAATATATGTATATTATATATATATATATGAAGGGTAACCGAACTTGCCACCTCTTCATGTTCAGTGGGGTTTCACTTGGTTTCACCAGTCCACCGATGAAGGTGACTTGCAGTTGATTCACTGAACTGCTGGGTAGGAGTTCAGTTTCGATCACCTCAAAATCATGTTTGGTCCGCTGAACAGTACACACACACACACGTTTCAGCAGGTGTGAACCCGAAACAAGGGGTGATTTCAGAAAAACACTTGAAACACCGACAAGTGACAGCTAGTGTATACTTCTGTAAACACTCCTCGAGCCATACCAGGGGCCCCGGGTGATTCATGGACACCCCATCTCTTAAAGAGGCTATGATTAGACACCCCAAACCAGGGGCCCTGTGGTTTGTCTCGTGTTCCACGCTGTAAGACACAGTTCAAGAGGTCCACGTTTACGCGTTAAGTGTTTTTCCATGTCATAAGTTGAGTGTTTTCAATAGGTCTGCAATGGTTGTACCTGGCATAAGCCTAGCTATAAGTGACAAAACAGTGTCTTCTTGAACAGTCAAGTCATAACCCTTCCAACTCCCGAGGTCCCGACCCCAGCCCGGTCGGACCGGGACCACCACCGGGCCCGCTTTCTTCTGGACGAGCACGAGTATAAGGAACAAGGGTTCTAGGCGTGCATGTTGGAACGCCGGGTTCTTAAGCTCTAGTGACTCTAGTGGTTGGTCACTAGATCCCCTAAAATGTGAACTGGTTGGGACCGATATAAGATCTGAATCTGAACGTCAAAGACCGGATTCAAGGCACATGCCACCCAAAGAGTTCATGATGCGACCCTTCCTCAGCCGGTGCCGCCGGCTGAGAACCATCGACTGATGCGACCGTCTTGAGTCTCGGGTCCTGCGCTTTTCAGTGCCCAGAGCCGCGACCCGGCCCCGTTTGGCAACTGCTACATGTTGGTGAAGGCTCCATGTCACCCGTTCGTTGGTTTCGGGTCATTTTCACCGGCCGACCGCGAAGGGGTTGAGTCCTGCCACCTGAGGCGAACTGGGTGGGTGTGATTGGGTGTGTATTAGATGAGGGAGACCTCCCAGGCAACGACCTCCTGGAAGAACGGAAATAGACCAGCTGTACCGCATGGATGAGGGGGTCCCCCTCAATCGTTGGGTTCACCGGACTCCTTGGGATGTTGGGTTCGGGTGGGCTTCGGTCAAAGCCGGCGCCGGCCGAACGAACCGGGTGAGCCGGTTCCAGCCCCGGCACGGTCGACGGGACGACCGGTGTTCCAGTCAAATGGGAGATACAAGTAGATGGAGATAGGACACTGCGCACCGTGTGCACAGTGCACGGAAGCAGAGCATGAACAGGTGCCAGGAGGGTCCAGTCGTACATCCCTGAGGATTGCTGTGCGCCACACAAACGCTGCAATGGCCCTTGGAAGCCTATAGGGCTTCCATTGAACCTCTAAAATCATCCCAAGTGATCGGTAAATCTGACAGTCCCTTGTCTGGGATACCAAAAAGGTGACATATCTACCAGCATCTGACTTCGCAGGTCACCAATTGAGACCTGTTAGGGCCCAACAACAACCCTCCATCGACCGCTAACTGAAACAAAACCAGATCATATTGGTCAGGCCCATGGAGTCTCTGAGATCATTTTGGTCAAATCCACTGCAACCACTCTTCCCACCCAGGTGGGGCAAAAACAATCCCCTGTTGGGGACCTCAAAACCTAAGAATCTGAGATCCGAGAACCCCAATTCCCCCATCATCATCATCATCATCATCATCATCATCATCATCATCATCATCATCATCATCATCATCATCATCATCTGAGACCCCAATACCCCTCAAATCAATTCCTGGCTGATTTGAGATAATCTGATAGGTTTGAAGCCTGTCCTATCCAGCCAGCACGGGTCACCCGTAAGCATCCTGAGGTTACCTGGATTGCTAACCGTGATCAAACGCCAAACATTGATACATGCCGCATGGAGAAAGCAAGAGCAGACGAGCCAAGCTGATTAGTGGCTTCAACTCGTTGGAACAACATATTCGTTATAGTGGTTTCAATCATCCCAAGTAAAGGTTGAAAACACACATACCTGAGATCACCAACCAGCAAGCTAGGTAGTTGGTTGTTTCCTTCTTCAATGATCTTCCATGCGGGATTCCTGGGTCCCCATTGCATTTAATGGTTCGAACAACAACCATTGTCTTTGTTAAGGGCAGTAGACTACAAAACCAAGTCCTTCCCGTTCTTTTGTGAAATAAATGGTCTTCCTGGGTGATACAGGGCGGGTGCCCAAGTTGCACCCTTTGGGCACTGAAAATCAAAAAGGAAACCTGGATGGCATTCCAGCCAAACCGCCAACTTGCAACTCCCGGTAGCTTGTTTCTTCGGATTGAGTCTAAATGAAACGCTCCGTGAAAACAGCCCGACCGGTTCCAAAAAAAGAACGATGTGCGACCCCAACTCCCTCCATATGTGCGGGTCCAGGGTCGTGTGGGAAGGGAAACTCTGCAGGAAATCATGGGGTAGATCTTCCCTTAAAACCCATTCTGGGAATGCTTAAGACCAGCGCAAAGACCGGCAAGCCCGGTTTGTGGCCAAACCTTTTCTCCACTGGGTCGCTTCCACTGGTAAAGATACTGTGGATAAAAATATATATATTTATATCATGACCCATGGTACCATATGGACCGTGGTATATACAAATACAGATGTTATGTGTATATCTGGACCGTCCAATGGGTGTCCTAGCTGGAGATCCCGGACCAGCGGTGCAGTCCAGCCAGGACACCCATGTTATTAAATTCATGAAACTGAAACCATCAGAAACTATCATCAGGAATTATATATAGTTTATTATGTGTGGTTATAAAATGGATGAAATTCTCGATGGTCTATGAATGCCATTGATATTGCATTGATTGATGAACCTCCAACTCCTTTGGCCGGGCATCTTGTACCCGGCGGAGAAGAGAGCCTCAAAGCCTCAAAGCGTCGAGGCTGGAGCAAAACAGCTTTGCCAAACGTGTCAAGACAGCAAAACCAGGTAAACATGCACATGTTTATGTATACCTGTACCCTCCAATAGTACAATCGACAATGGGACATGACCCATTGCGGGGCCCTGGAGGCCCTGTTAAAACAATCATAAACCAGGTATTTACTTGTGCCTCGTGCCCATTTTCCGAGGTACTTACTTTGAGACTTCAGGTGTATATGTCAGGAACATGTCCCAAGAACATGCAACCAATGGGTATCAATGGGTGCTTTCACCACGTAGATTGTTTACCTAACCCCGAACCATTGGAGGGGGAAGAACGAAAACGGGGCTGAACCAATCCCTGAGGTTTCTGGAATGGTCCTTTAAAGAATGACCCTTCCCAGACGCTCATTGACCCGAACCAACTGCTACAACTGCTACATGTTTGAGGTCCAAAACCCTAGTTGTGAGGGTCAAAACCCTAGCGAACTGAGGGTCCAATGAGCGTCTGGGTTGGGTAATCTTGGGAGTCGACTTCCAACCATTGAGGAGTCGACCCATGAGTCGACGAATGCGTGGACGAATGCTAGGGTGGTGCTGCGGAGCCTACCAAACGGTCTCGCAGCTGCCTACCATCGGTGGATCCATGGAATACACTTGGGCTTTTTGAATTTGAAGCCTACCTTCCGGATGTTCCTTTGCATATCTTTGCATGCACGTTCCATCACTTATCTCCAGTGCCAGGAACCTTTGCGATCTGATGAGAGGACGTGACCAGCTACCCCTGTCAGTCAGGCCGAGGGGTCAAGGGTCGGGCGGCATATATGGCAGTCCCATGAGTCGTGTCTGGGATCCATGGAAGGAGGCACGGCATGTCTGTCAAACCGCCGGCGAAGATCGGCGGTCGCCCCGTGGGACCAAGTCGCCCAGTCGCCTTCAGTTCGACCATTTAAACACATGGGAACGACCTGATTTGTGGTCGTCTCAAATCCGTAGCAACAGCAACAGCACTTCCGGGAGTCCGTCAAGGGCGACCAAACCTCCCAAGAAAAAACCAGGTCTGCGACCCGAGAAGCCGACTTCCAGCACTACTCGCTGTTGAGGGTCCATGATCTTCGACTCTGCTGGCGTGATGCCAAACCTCGTGAACGACACACACACACAGACCGGCACTAGACATGGCGGCTGTAAGCGAGGGAAAGGTCCTAAGGTGGCAAAATTCCTTGACCGCCAGAGAATTTTGCCCGACGTTGACCCCTCCTATGCCAAAATATATAGGAAATCCCATGCATTATTTTGGCATCCAACAAAGCCTTTTACTTTAACATGAAATATTGTTTGTTAATCAAACAAGTATCATTATTCTATGTTTGCTGTTGGTTACAAAGAAATATCTGACATGCAAAAAAAAGGAGAATGAATCCCAAAGCAAAAAACATAAGATACCAATAATAATATATGGTGGATTCAACCGGATAATTCCATTGGAAAAAATAACAGCCATGAAGGGTGAATCCAAATAATGAAAGATATGAACTAAAGATAAAAGACCTAGCCAATTAATTTTATAACGGTGATTTATTATTAACAAAAGTTAATTGGTATTACCCTAAAAATATACATGAACTAGCCATTAACCTTGCAATTTTATATAAATGAAACATTGCAATCATTAAAGGTAAAACGAGTAAACTTATATAAGTTATAGATGCGTTCACCCTAAAATTAAAAGAACATGTCATTAAAATAGAAAGGGTGAACCCATATGAATAATATATTAGATATATGCCAATTAATTCTGTATGGAAATTTTCTCATAATTAATTGGCATTATATGACCATAAAATCCACAAGCTTATAATATGAGGATGAGGTTTACAGAATTTCATTTTACTTACGGTGGCTCTTGGAATTATAAGCTTGTGGGGATTTCTTCATTAATAATCATACTTTTGGCCGCTCTTAAGGGTGAAAGCAAACCCTGATGCAGGTTCCAAATTTGGTAGTTCAACACACAAGGAAAGTCCCAAACAAACCAAGTCCTCTTCCGAAAAACTTCCTGAAACGCCTATAAATCATAAATCTTTGGCAGCCAAATGATGATCCATGCTAACCACGTACTGATCCTGGTAAGAGTCAAGTCGGATGGCTGTTGGTGTTGGCTGTGGATTCTGCTGTTGGATCCTCCTAACTCATCGGTCGATCACCGAAGGGATCAAAGGAGCATCTTGTTGTCGAAGAGATCCACGCCCTCCACGAAGGAGAGGTGCCTTGGAGGCTGCGCGGCGCGCGACTTTCTGCGTTGCGGGGCCATGGCGCAGCGGAAAGAATTTCTGCCCCAAAGATCCCATGTGGAAGGTGGAAAGGAGGAATTGTGAAGCTCGGAACACGACCGGGAAGGTGCCATGAGAAGCTCGCGTATGATGGCCGGCAGGTGCCGGCACCTCCCTTCACACAAGGAATTGGATTGTCTGAGGTATCAATCAAACGCCAAATGTGGCCATCCCATACCCTTAGGAACAAACATCGAAAACCAGTTGGAAGGCATGACAGTGTAAGCACCCAACTCTTGGAGGATCTTCGAGGATATCATATAAACCTCCGCTCCGTGTCACACGGTACCCTACCAGGCCCTACCTCATTTGTCTTCTCTGACATTTGCTCTGTGAAGAGTCGCGAAAGAACCGGAACATACTAGAACCGCCCACAGAGGTGGTTTCTGGGCAGCTGTCGCCCAGCAACACCGTTCTTGGAGAGTGCTGGTAGCTGTTCGGCTGTGTGTTCGGACAGACTACCTTGCCCAGCATACAGATCTCCAGGGCACACACTGATGGTCTTCGGAGTTTGGCAGTTTCAAACACCCCACCAGCACGTGAGACTATCTTCAAACTTCCTGCTCCCCAAAAGCGCTCAACTTCCATGCGCCCAACTTCCATGCGCCCAACTTGCTGGTATCTCACTGGAGGGACCTCGGCACATACCTACTACTCCACAGGATTATCTCGAGTCGGCTGTCGTTCAAACAACTCAAGACCTGTGAGAACTGTTGGAGGTTGGCATTCGAAGGAGGGACCCATAAAATATGTTGACACAAACTACCGTCACAATTGATTGACACTTTGGATTTTAAAATGTTCCAGGTAGATTCACTAGACTTGGGGAATTCCTTAGATATCTTCAAACAATTCTGATTGACCAGGCACTGTGAGAAAGTCTTGTAGAGACGCCAACCATTTTCGTCCGGGTCGTAGCACTTCTCGTGGTCCCACCTCCAGGTCAAACTCGGCGCACCGCAGGGTGAGATGAGTGGTCAAACCATGAGCATACATGAGCCATTTATTTGGAAATCCGAACACATTATACAACCTGTCCAGCCATAATCAAGTAGTTTGGCTGCCTGGTTTGGCTTGGTCGAACAACACACAATCATTATTTTACAAATGTTCAACTTCCAAAACTGGGGCTGGTCATAGCCGATTGGCTGTGTTCAGGATCACCCAGTCCATGGAGTGCCAACCTCCAAATGGAGTGCTAAAAAACACTCCGACGCCAATGTCTCTACCAGCTTCCAAGCTGTGCTGGTTTAGTGTAATTGCTCGCATTACGGGGTTCCCCCACCCGCCGCGGACACCTAGATTCTGCGAGACTGGGCAGTCGAAGTGCACATGGACGATGTCGAGAACCATGAATGCACTCTAAATAGCAGCGAATCAGCCGCACACGCCCGCGCGGAACAGCAATCGGGTGCCATGATCTAGCCCGCTTGAGTTCTGGCAGGATTCTTTCATTGACCCTGTTTGCCTGCTTGGGCTCAAGGTTTACAGGGCAGCTCCAAGCAGAGGGAGGTTTACGGAGACTCCAGGATGTGTTCATATGATCTTTGTATGATTATACATACAAGAATAACACAACCAAATATTTCACACAGTTGCCACACTCCTAGCCTATCCTCCAAAGCTGTCGCATACATCCCTGGAATCCATGGAGAATCTAAACAGCAAACCAGAAAGTTCCTAAAATCCAGGGCTACAAACAGCTTCATGCAAACACACACATACAGAGGCTTTGAGATATGCATACAATAGATGTATTCATGTGATCTACAGTATGTCATATAGATAAAAAAACAATGGCGCCAAAGCCGGTGCCAAAGCTGCGGACGAACAACCGGGGCGGAGCCAAGGTGTTTGCTAAGGGTTCGAACATCCATGCTTCTGACAGGTTATCTCCCAAAGCAGGCAGCTGCTTACCCAGTCTAAATGCCTTGCTTTGGAAAAGCGTTTTGACCAATTTGCACTCTCTTTTCGTTGGCGGCAATTGCTTATTTTGTAAAGAATGGAAGCAATTTCTTTTTGGTTGGAGGCAATTGCTCTTAGGTTGGAGGCGATAGCTCTCAGGGTGGATGCCATTGCTCTTAGGTTGGAGGCCCAGGGTTGGCAGGAAGTAGACGCCCACGCACCTCCTAGATTGGGAGGGGGCAAGACTCCTGGATATGGGAGGGAGGGCAGGACATTGCTTTTAGGTTGGCGGCCAGTGCTTTTGCGTCGGAGGCAATTTGCGGTTGGGCAAGCACAGTCCCAAGCATGAGATGCATTCCTCACCCCCAACACTATTCACTTTAATCATGTCTTCACAAGCTCGGACTCAATAGGCTTGGTCTACCCCTGCGATGAATTTGGTTTCTAGACCTAATGGGTCCAAACGCAAAGTGCTGATGAGGATCATCGGGCACAAGGGACATCAACCGCTCAAACATGACAACATGTGGAGCAAGCTTGCCATTGCACCTGTCTGTATCGGGCCCGGCTTCAAAAAACTCTTGGGCTGCCAGGCCAATCCAATGTTCGGCTCTGGGTTTGCCACCAAGGGGCCACGCACAGTTAGAACACCTTCTTACTTCCCTCAGTGGTGAAAACAAAAAAACTCAGAAGGCAGGGGACGGCGTCTGTGGGACTGTCCTGACAAGCAGGTGAGCTGTTGTGCCACTGGCTCTGATGCTCGTGCGGCGCAAGATGGCTTCTGAAGCTTGCGCTGCTGCTGCCTGGGATGCTTCTTAGAGCGTTGGCCTTGCTACTAGTAGCTTCGTGTTACTAGTTGAAAGACGTCAGTATATAACAGGCAGAAAGACTTTAAAAAGAATGCCCTTTTTGTCATCAATGTGTGAATCATGTGAGAAAGCATGGAAGTCACTGAAGACGTATATTATCGGAAGCGAGTATACAGGCTGGAGAGTGGGCAGAATAAGCAGGGTTTGCAAGGCTGCAAGTGTAGTAATGCATAGGCAGAAGACATTGCAAGGCAAATGTTGGGCCATTTTTCATTTTTCTTTGTTGCTGCTAGCGATGGTTGTCACCCTAACAATGATGGCCTCCATCCTACTAGCTTCTTGCCACTAGTAGCGATCGCCTGCAAGCTACTTGCAGTAGCGTCCACTTAACAGCGTTTTGTCGTGTCTTAATACTAGTTGATAGGTAGAAGATCTAATTGGATTATAGAAATAGATGGGCCTCTTTCGTCATAGAACTCTTTGTTGCGGAACATCGTTGTTGAGGACATTGATGCGAAGCTCGCGTCTTGAGCGGTGTTCCCACATGCCCATGCAGAACTATGCCCGGCCTTTCCGGAACTTCATGCGATCTTCCCCTTTGGGCTGCCATGCTGAAATTTGTCCTTCCTCATCCGGAAGCTTCCCCTCCTGCAACACATATTTGTATTTGGCCAGTGTGGGGTGAAAACAGCAATGGATGCCAAAACAGATGTCAAGATATGCTACTGTGTCCGCTACAGTGATTGAACTTCGTCGGATTTTGCTCATGAAACTATTCAATGATACTCTGATGGGTGCCTGCGTGGGATTGAAAAAGCGTAGCAAAAGTAAAATCTATGCACCCAACGTGCAAGACAATGCAAGACACTCGGTCCTGGAACCAAATTTTCGCCTTCCACAAGCAAGTGTCTAAAGACACAGGGCGCCAGCCCCCTGGCGCGCTAGTGAGCAGAGATAGATCTGCCAGCGACGGCTTGCTGGTAGCTGCAGAAGTCACCCATTCAAGAGATCCATCGGGAGGAGCAAGCGCTGTGTCCGACCAGACTGACGTAGCCCACTGCCTGAATTCCTCAAAGCTTTCTTCAAATTTGGTATCTGGCGCAAAGGAATCCAACTCTGCATCGCTGCCCGAAAGGTCGTCCATGTTGGCCACTCGCAGTGCTGACAAGGGGGCGCAAAAGGAAGCTGGTGACGGGCTGCAGTCGGTCATGGTACTGCGCACATGGTAGTACTTGCGGTAAGCTTGGCAATTGGCACCGCAATTGATTAGGCAACATTCATCGAGCTCGTGTGATGCTCGTGCTGCTGCTGCCTGGGATGCCGCTGCCTGGGATGCTGCTGCCTGGGATGCTGCTGCTGCTCCTTGTGATGCTTGTGCTCGGTCGGCTGATGCTGTGGCATGGCCTGCTGATGCTGCAGCGACGTTGGCAAAGAAACAGAGAGAAACAAAAGGGAAAGAGAGAGAGAGAGAGAGGGAGAGAGCAAAAGAACAGAGAGCACAAACTGGTCAAGGCGCTTTTAGACTGGGTAAACAGCTGCCTGGTTTGGGAGATGAACCTGTCAGAATCTGTCAGAAGCATTCATGTTCCAACCCTTAGCAATCGCCTTGGCTTTTCTTCCAGCTTGCCGGCGTGCGTCAGACCCGCCCCGGTTGTTTGTCCGCAGCTTTGGCATCGGCTTTGGTGCCATTGTGTTTTTATTGATATGATATACTGTAGATCACATGAATACATCTATTGTATACATATCTCAAAGCCTCTGTATGTGTGTGTTTGCATGAAGCTGTTTAAAGCCCTGGATTTTAGGAACTTTCTGGTTTGCTGTTTAGATTCTCCATGGATTCCAGGGATGTATGCGACAGCTTTGGAGGATAGGTTAGGAGTGTGGCAACTGTGTGAAATATTTGGTTGTGTTATTCTTGTGTGTATAAAGATCATATAAAGATCATATGAACACATCTACATATCTCAAAGCATGTGTGTGATTGAAACTGTTTAGCTAGAGTCTCCGTAAACCTCCCTCTGCTTGGAGCTGCCCTGTAAACCTTGAGCCCAAGCAGGCAAACAGGGTCAATGAAAGAATCCTGCCAGAACTCAAGCGGGCTAGATCATGGCACCCGATCGCCCCACATCCTAAACTTGAAGCAGCGCTTTCGGCCCTGATCCCGATGTCTGTATATATGACAGTCCCATCTCGTCGGTCCTACTGTGGTTGCTTGGGTTGTGTGAGCTTCCTTGCTCTCCGAACTTTTTGTGAGAAGTCGAAAAGTGCACGAAAAGGCAACGATGATCAAAAGAGTCACCCGCCGGTCCCAGGGCAAAGCCCCGGGTCCTTTTGGCAGGCGTCTCTTTTTTGAGGGCGTTCCTGCTCGAGGCTGACTCACTTTGACACGGCTGGAGTCTGGAAAACAGCAACCTACCTATATATATATCTATATATATATATATCTGTAGGAGCAAAAGCAACGTTTGGATCAATTCTGCTAGACTTTTGTTGAAGGGCACGGCATGTGACTGGTGTCCAAAAAATCTCGAAAAGTTGAAAAGTCTCGAAAAGTCAAAAAGTCAAAAAGTCTCGCTGCGTGCTTTCGTTCCCTTTACTTTTTTGACTTGTTGATTTTTCTCACTGTTTGACTTTTTGCGTTTTGCTTGGTGTCTTGCAAACAGATCGTCGCTAAAGGATTTAGCGAGCTTAGTGGGGTCCTGCGTGTGTGATGTATTGTATCTATAGCTGGAGCCCACCGGATAGTTCGAAATCAGCCACATTCAGTGTCTGGCGAACGTTCCGCGAGTTCAGAGCATCGTGCCGGCCACGCCTCATCAATGGCACCTGCAGCATGGCATCCAGTCCGCTCGCGGCACCTTGGTGCAGCGCGTCCGGGGAGTCTTTGCCCATAGTCATTGCTGCTTCTTCCTCTCATCTGTGGATTGTGATGGCTCTTCTCCTTCAACGCGTGGATATTCTATTTTGAGGTGTCTTGAAACGAAACCTATGGAGAAGCAGCATCGTCGCCCTGGGGAACGAGCACAATGGTACGCCCCACCTGCCTAGGCCTGGCACGGCTTCTGCTGGATTTTTGCATATCGGCCTTCAACACAAATACGATTTGACACCCTGCTACTGCATATACCACGGCATCCCACTGCGAAAACCGTTTCTGGAAGTCAGGAGTTTGCCAAACACCATCTGGGATACCCATTCGGCATTCGACCCTCCAAAGTACCTTAGAAAATGGGGCATGACCCTACAAACACATGTACAAGTACCTACCCCTTCGAGGTACTTTGAGACATGATCTGATCCCTGAAACCAGCAAGATCTAAAGCATATCGTCGGAATGCCTTGCTTCGTCCCCACCGGTGGATGTGATGAGACAGGGGGTACCGGGCACCTACTCCGACTTCACCTGAACACCTCCGTTCAGAACACCCTGAACGCGCTCGGAGCCCCTTGGTATCCAGCCCTTGCGGTCCGGTCCGCTCCATAGACCCGAAACCGGTCTGCCTTCAAAGACCCGAAACCAAACCCCGGGGGAAGCAGGAGACCCCCAAAGCCCTAAAAGGAAGGCACGAGCTGCTCGACATCCCCGGGTGCCCAAAAACATGGTCTCAACCAGAAACAAGTCTGGATGGAACACCCCAGTCCCAACCACTTGTTGTGTAAAGGATCTGCAGCAAGCCTCTCAGCAAGCCATATTGGGTTCCATGTTGGGACTGGGCTACAGGCAGGCCTGCCAAATTGTCTTGATTTTAGCATTTGTTTGGGTCATTACAGGTAAAAACAAACAAGACCTTAAATTTTCGGATATATTTCTTCCCATAAGAATGACCAGACAAATAAAACACATATGCCTTTGGTTTTCCAGGTAATGATACCGTTGTTTGACAGTGTTGACATGTTACCATGGTAGACAACATTAGACTGGACCGATGTCCAGAATGCGCCAAATACTCAGTACATATTTCATATCCCATCATGTTATTCGTTCCGTCCTGCAACTCAAAGGCGCCACACCAGAAGGTCTCTGCACCCCAGCATGGTGCAACACGGCTTGCCAGGCCTCTCGTTGGGTCGCTGGGCTCGTTGGGTCGTCGCCGTGTTTTTGTTCGACTCGGATGTCTCGTGTACGAAGGCAGGTGAACCAAACTTTAAACCTGTTCGACCCATCCAACCACATCCTATTGAGTGGTATCGCTATCGTCATCTGGGCAGGCTGTGAGAAAAAGAGCTCACATGTACAACTGAAAAGAAAATGAATTAAACCCCAGAGCAATCCAAGTCGAAATCCCAACTTTCCACCTGTTCACATCTGTCGTAGCTGTATTTTACAGCATCATCGGTGACTCTCTGGTCAGTACGATGAAAGTTTCTACACATGGTAAATGCACCCCTGTTCATGTTTGGATAGCCTACCCCAAGGATCCGGACCCTCAAAACAAGCTGTTTGAGGGGTTCTGGAGAGTCAAAGGATCCTTAAGGTAGTGCGGTGTCCCTCCCAATTCCCCCAAAGGTTCGGCTTTCCCTGCGGGTGATCCACTTTTCATTCACTCCTGGCCTAGTGCCTTGTTTGTGCTGGAGGATGTCTAGCTCATTGGTCAAGTAGAACAGCCTTTGCAAAAATGTCCTAGCAAAATAGCAAAGCTCTATGGGCCTTACCTCCATGCCATTTGCCATCACTCTTTCTGCTTCCAAAATAGTGTCCCATTATGCTTGCATCTGCCTGCTTGTTGTGTCAGCTTTGTCCTCCCTGCAAAGGCATGCATATCTCATTGGTGGCCTCAAAAAGGTGCCTGTCAAAGAGATTGCTTTCATATTCAAGACTTTGATCAGCAGTGCATGGTGGATTGGCAAGTTCTCTGCAGTGCCCACTTCAGTGCCATCATAAAAGGGTTTCGAGATGTTTCGAGGTGGAAAAAAAGGGAGCCCATTTCAGAACACACGCCAACAAGGACGTCAGAACACAGGCCAGAACATTTCCAAGTTCCAAGCCTTTATGATAATTGATGTGTCAGAGCACCAATGCGTTCTTCAAAATCGCTTGTCCCGGGGGGTCACTCGAAGCAGAGATCATTTTTGTTGCGCGTGATCAGCCAGGCTGAGATGACACCTATTTTATAGGTCGATCAAAGGGCGGTTCGTGAGAAAAGGCGGCAGACTTCTATTCCACCACGCAACCGATTCAGCCCCCCGAATCCTCCGATTCAGCGCCCCGAATCCTCATTCTCTAGGCGCCTTCAGGTCCAGTCTGATCCAAAAGCTGGTCCTTTGAGCCTTTAGCTCGTTGAGTATCGTTGAGTATTAAGTTATGAGTTATGACCTACTCCAGAAACATGATGTCAAACTATGTCGAAGTGACCCTGGTATAGGGAAAAAGGTTTCTGTACTATAATCACGTTTTGAGTTTTGAGACCTCCGAAAAAAGACCACTGGCTGCGAACTTGTGGAGAGTTCGAAGGACACCATCCCCCAAAATTCCACATACCTTCTTAGAAGGGACCCTACAAGAAAAGGTTTAAGTCTAAGTCTTCAATATTCTCCTCAGAGATATGGATCGGGATCAGGCCCGCAGAACCTGAAGCCACACCGAAAACAGCACGTGAACAGCAACGGATTCGGCGAGACGTCGCCCGTCGGCGGTCTGCGCCCAGTTTCGCGAGACGCAGTGCCTCGAACGGCCATGTATTGCCCTTTGAAGGTCTGCCGGTTCATGATCAGCCGCAGATGCCGTGGCAAGTCTGCCCGGCGATCCTCTGTCTCCTGGCCATCTACGTGCCCAAACACTCCATGTATATTGACTCCTTTTCAACCACCCCAAAGGTCGTGGTCAATATGTCAGCATGGTAAACCGCCTCCTTACCACCCCTTTATGTATGGTAAATATATCAGTCCCAAACAGGTCGTGTCTGGGGTGACGCGCCCGCGCCGCATCGGAGCCATCGCCCCTCCACGCGCTCCACGCGGCGGTCAAGACGTCCTGCTGTTTCAAGACCTTCAGCCGACTATCCAGCCAGGCCTGCCCAGTGATGAACTCACAAAGTGGAGGAAAGGAGAGCCAGGCCAGCACAAAGTACATCAAAGTACATCCAAGTACCAAACAAGCTAGTCAGCGAGACGGCGTCAAACGGCTTCAAAGGGCTATAGACGGCTGTTTGAAGAGATGAAGACGTGGAATTCACCCATATGTTTGTATAATCGATATATCTACTATAATGATCACAGAACTTGCATGAAGAAACCACGAAGCCACACATTATGCAATCAATAGCGACATACATAGTTAGTTTGTGAACATATTGTGTTTAACCAAATCACAAAACATCAGCACCACCATCGCATCATTCATCAGCCGTTCATGACACAAAGAAACACAAACAACTTAAAGAGGACACATCCTTCCATCCTCATTATCATCCTGCCATATCCTGCCTGAAGCTTGCCAGTGCAGGGGTTTGGCGCCAGGCGCGCGTTGGTCGCGGCGGAGGCTTGGAACTGAGAACCTGAGCGGCCCGAGGTTTATGTAAATTTCCTGGAGCTTGGAGGGTCAGTTCGTGCCTCCGAAAACGGGTACAGTCGTATCTGTTTGTTCAGGTCATGTCCCACTTTCTATACGGTAATTGAAGTCAGTTCCAAGTGCCAGCATCCTCAATGCCAGGTCACCTTTTTTTGACCTGCTGAGGAGACCTGTTGGAGGAGGCTGGTAGTGGTGGTAGATCTTCTTGAGATCGATCGGCTTTGAGGCTAAGAATGCTGCTTGAGCCTGATCGTTCCCAGACACTAATGGGACATACAATAGGGTGGTTGAAGTCAGGATCAACGGGGCGACCCCCTACGAGTCCCAGACAGGTCGTGTCTGGGGTTGGATATCTGGAAAATCCGGTTGAACACCGTATGAGACTCAGCGACCTCGCAGATCACAAGCCCATGAGGATCACCTGTTGCATCACAGGTCGCATCGATCTCTACAGATTTCATTCACCTGCCACTTCGAGAAGTCTCCATTCATTTCATTCACCATTGGCCATCCATCGGCTTCGGTGGAGGCCATTCATTTCGACTTGAAGAGCCTGACTGGCTTGTCCGTTCTGGAAGCATCATGCTAGATAGAATCCTTGGACCCGACCTCTTCGGGGTCGAAGCCTCTACAACTACCGAAAATATCCCAAAATGTCTACTCTCAAAAAGCTTGTTTTTCAGGGTCCGGATCCTTAGGGCAGCCAAAGGGTCATGGACCCAAATCCTCTGGAGAGATTCCCCGAATCCTTGGGTCTGAGGTCGAATTCATGTGATCTTTACTCCTAGTGGGTTGTTCGCCAAGAACAAAAAGATAACTTGAAAGAACAACACGTGTTTATCGTTTATCATCGTGTGAGGATTTGGGGATCTTGATCTATACGCACATCCGCTCCTAATGTGGACCCAAGTATATCCCTTTACCAGTAGCAAACGATGATGTTTCGTCTTTCGGCCGGACCAACATGCCACACAGGATCGGATCACCCACCTCGGATCACCAACACAGGGCCTTTCGATGTCGTTGGATTCAGGTTTCATACTCAACGTCGTTCTACAGGGCCTTTCGCGCTCAAAGAGTGATCCTTTGAGGGCCTTGCTGGGACACAGGCCCTAGACACACCCAGTACCAGGAGCCCGAACCAAACCATGGGAAAACAAAGGTTTTCACATACAAAAACCATTTTTTTTGCTCGGGAAAACCTGGTTTTGGATGGTTTTGAGTGCCCCTGGTACCCACATCTGATCCATAAGAGACTTGACCCCAACCACCCACCTCGCAGTGTGAAACCCCCCTTCACCTGCTTCACCCTGCAGCCCCTGAAAAAAACCAGCCTTCCTTCGCTGCCTTCATGCTTTGATTGGGGCACCCAAACTGCTTGGAACACGCCCAAAAACCCGGACCACGCCCAAAAGTTAACCGGTTGGCGCATGGTTTCAACTCACGAACGAACAGTATCAGTGGCTTTAACATGGTACATCCCAAGTGAAGGTTGAACATCTCTCCTCGGAGCATCGAGCGGCTCAAGAGGAAGCTCCGGGTCCGGCAGAGGTGTCGAACCCGAATCTGGTCGGAGCGCACCAGCAGGACCTGGGCCGTCGCGGAAAAGGCTCGCGAGTGGAGGTTCGGCGCCGAGGTTCAGCGCGGTCGGTGGTTCGGTGAGTTCGGTGTCCACGACGTTGAGGAGTGGCCCGGGTTAGGCCGGAGAGGACCGGCCCTACATCAAATCTATCAAATCCATAGGTTGTGGCCCTGAAGACGGGAGGCTGAAGTGTCGTGCAGTTGGTGAAAGAAAGATCAGAAAGCACCGGAGGCTGTAGTCAATTGCGGCACTGGACCTACTGGATTTGCAAAAACAGTGAACTCTCCTATTGCCATCACAGGGGGATGTAGATCCCCTTCTCTGCCAGCAAGGAACTATACGACAAGTTGTGCAAAGAGTCACCTGACATCCATGGATGGGCGATGTCATCTTCCACCAGGCCAACAGCAGTTGATCTACTGTCCCAGTTTGTATTTTTGATTATATTTCTTACCCAAATGCAATGGACCCTCACATGGAGCGATTGATCACCAGAGCGGATGTTTTGGGTCTCACTCCCATGTTTTCAGGGAGGGACTCCTGCACTGGTTAAACAAGTCACCTGTTGGATCCCGCTCAGGGTTTCACCATGACCAAAACAACCACATTAATCATTAATCTGATAATCGGATGATCATTGAACTGGTCAACATCACCCCCTGATCGCCATGTCATCATGTCATCAGCCTCAAAAGGTTCTGTATCCGGTCATTCCGCATGCAAAAAAACACCGGTCGCACGAATGTGGGCCCCGACGGTGCCAGGGTTCGACGGCACTTTGATCGCCTTCGTGTGGGCCTCGTAAGGCTGCAGTTCAAAGTCGCCACTGCCGGGGCCTGGGAACGAAGAAAACCCCACAGTGCTGACGTTGGATGACGCACAACGAAAACGGCGCAGGCCACAAACCCGAGCAGTCCCCGATAGGTGAATTGTTGATGGCACACTTATCAGAGGTGCCCTTCCACTGGGGAAATTTTGAGAAGTTTCGCAAAGAATGGACACCGTTGCTTCGTGTGAGTTGTGTACAGGATGTGCTTTAAAAAAACGAAAATATTTTTGTATCCGCAGAACAGCCCAGGTGCTCCAGTTACCACGATTATAGCTGGTAACCAGTGGTTCCAAAGATTAAAGCCATTGACCTAGAAACCGTGGTTTCTCGTCAAGGCTGCCTTGCCAGAAACTCAAGTTCGGCGATGATGGCACAGGTCGGACCGTTTTTAGCCAATTCGCAGTTTGCAGTGTCTGGAGGGCCAGCAGCTGGAACGGAGTTCGTTATGAGCACCCTGGCCTTCAGTCCAACTATGAACCATGAAAGTAATGGTTGACCTGGCCTTATGTAGCTTAAAAGCCTTGGTAAAACAATGTCAGCGTGTTCGGTTATAGAAGTTACAACCATTTGAACATCGAGCGGAATCTGACCACGTACTGCACTGCACTTTCTAGCAAGGTACGTCTCACGCTTTCGCTGGCTTGTGAGTTTGTGCTCTACTGATGCCAGGCTGGCATGCCTTGACAACCTTGCAGTGTGGGCCACCAACCGTAGAGAATCTGCTGGCAGTCACTCCAACCCAGCTCTGTGACAGCCCCGCGCACCGATCCTGAATATGAAGCCTGCAGCAGCACGCGGCACGCCCAATTGATCAACCCTGAAGCTCCAAGTAGCTCACAGGGAAGGTGTTTGGACATGTTTGGACCCTCTAAGCCCACCCTCTTAGAAGGTACTTGGAGCCCTAGGGTTGCCATAGACATCTATGGACCAAGGACGTTACGAGCGCGTGCACGATACCACAGCTCCACTCCCACATGCAGGGCCAACGACGCACCGACGCATTGGTCATGACGCACGCCACACGTGAAGTTCCGCGAGCCAACGGTCATGAAACCAGGAATGCGCAAAGGGATGCTTGACGTTGGCTGTGGTCTTGTCGAGCTGACAAATTGAGACCTGCCAAAGAGCCAGCAGCCCCTAAGGCGGATCGTCATTCGAAGTTTTTGGAGAAGAAAAACAGTCGATCGCTCGAACCTGCCATGGGTTCATCACACTGCAGATTGTATGGTGCTTGAATTTGGGCGTGCTTACCTCATGGAACCCTGACCGAAGCCGTTTAAACCAATAATTGGCATTTTATTGCATTCTTGCCCCGCAACGTCTGCTGGATTTGTGACCTGTCAAGTTGCTACTGCGACCATTGTGACCCATGTCGACTCCAAACGAGAGCAAAGTTGCGACTGCGCCGTCCGACTTCCGATGAGGCCTCAGACCCCGGCCTGGTAATGATGCTCCTCCCCTAAGGGCTCCAAGTACCACCCTCTAAACCCACCCCAGTCCCACCTTCTTAGAAAGTACGACTGGAGTTTTAGGGCTCTAGGGGTGAGATGTTCTTAGTCAGTGGGTTTCCAGATGTTTCAACTCACAAACGACAAATATTAGTCAGTGACTTAGTCAGTGGTTTCAATGAATCTTCCCAAGTAAAGGTTGACCATCATATGTACTCCACAAGGCACAAACTAGTAAACAACAGGCTTCGTGGAAATTATGTTATGTGGTTCTTGGACGACCCTCATATACCAAAAATAGATACAAATATCTAACGCCACCCCGGTCATCATGTTCCTCGACAGGTCGGGGATGCTCGGGCCCCAAAAGCACGACGCAGGGACCACCGACCTTGGTGGTGAGACGTGTGGCACCAGAAATTCCTGGAGTTCACTGGATTTGCTGCAAAAACCACCAGAAACTGGACTGGACACACACACACACACATATATATATATATATATATGTATTTTTATATGATAGTTTATGCCTATTAAGCTGGACATTGATGGCAAATGTTGTTTTGAGGATTGTTGAACCACCCCGCACCCCCTGCACCTTTTCTTGTTTTTCCTTGCCTTTTCGTTTGTCTTGTTCTTTCTTTCAGGCTTGTTAGGTGTCGTTTAGTCAACGCACGCCCTGCCCCCCCCGCACCCCCTGCACCTTTCTCTTCTGTCCTTGTTTTTTCGTTTGTCTTGTTCTTATCTTCAGGCTTGTTAGGTGGCATCCAGGTTCGTTTAGTCAATGCACGCCCTCCACACCCCTGGTAAAAAAAAGAAAATAAAGAAACAAGAAGCAGGACAAGCACACTTTGTGCTACAGCGTTGCGGCCATCTAGGGTTTTACTAGTTGTGCCGACATGGCTCATTGTGAGGTCACCCCAAGGAACATTGCGCTGCAGTGTTGCAGCCTTCCAGAAAAGAGCGTTTCCATTGACTGTTGCTAGCTGCGCCGATTCGGCTCATTGAGTGCGCAAACCCCCGTTCCAAGGGACACTAACCTATCTTGCTCTATCTTGCTCTATTTTGCACCATTTGTACAGCAGCAGGGGGCAGTAGCCCACTCATGAGTCTACTGCCAACGAAGCTACTCATGAGCTGGGAGGATATCGGAGCTGATCACTCCGACGTACCTGCAAACTTTAACATTCCTTTGTGATTCTACGTAAATTCACCGCTGTCTTATACGTTGTTTCGCTGTAAAGTGCTAATGCATTCAGCTAGTACAGTAAATTAAAGGGCTAATGTGCACTGCGAATTTCTGAATGATTCTACGTAAGTTCAACGCTGTCTCATACGTTGTTTCGCTGTAAAGTGCAAATGCTTTCGGCTAGTACAGTGAGTTAAAGGCTAGTGTTCACTGCGAATTTATGAAACTCCGCTCTACGGAGCACTCTTCTCAAGTGTGTGTGTGTGTGTCCCCTCTGGAGTCACGAGGTTCCCTTTGGATTGTTTTCTTGAATTTGGTAGGGGGATCACCCACGGACTTGACTGGTGATCCAGCGAAGAGGGTCAAGTTCCGTGCTGATATCTGGCCTGATCAGCCAGACGTACCTGCAGTTTTATTTGCGAAATTTCATCGCGGGCCCTGCTTGTAGCTAGAACAAGACGTCCAGCCTTTGCATCGGTTCATCATCGGCAGATGTGCAGTGTCGCTTTGGATTTGTCGATTTGAAATGGTTTGGAACGCCGTACTTTTACCTGTCCTGGTTTTCTTAGGTTTTCGCTTAGGCCGGCGTGTGGCAACCGCTTTCAAGTCAGTACGCATTTCTATAAGTGTGTCTCTCCTCGTGAGAGCCCAGGGTGACCCCGCAGAGTGGCCCCTGTTGACCCGTTGAACGGGGGTTTGTCGAACATATCCTCTGCCCCAATACAAAGCAGTCCGCAGCGGACAAAATAGGCTCAGGCCAAAGTTATTTGCCAAGACTTGCTGAATTATTGAATTCCAAGCTGGCTCATGCCTTTACGTGACCACAGCGGTCAAAGCAGCCAGCCATTTGGCACGGCGTACGTGGCCGCAGCGGCCGAAGTTTTTCAAGACTCGTTGGAGTCTGTCGGGACCTTAGTCCCCATCCTCCCCCTACCCTCCCCTTCTTCTCTCTTTGCCGTTTTAGCACTCAGGTATACCCCTCTCCTTGGTGTGTCCACTGGACGCTTGGAACACCGGCGTTCGCCCTTTCCTTTTTTTCCTTTTCTCCTTTCCCTCGTTCTCTCTCTCTCTCTCTCTCTCCCTCTCTCTCTCTCTCTCCCTCTTTTTTGTAAAATTCAGCAGCTGTTTGTTTGTCGTTTGTTTGTGCACGTCTCTGTATTGTTTTCCTCTGGCAATTGTCCTTAGGCTCAAGCTAAGCTCAAGGCCTTTGATCCAAAGGTGCGTTGTATAGCACCATGCAATTGTACATCAACACTACGATGGAGTAAGTAAGCTATTGTGAGAAAGCTTGTCTCTTAGCACCGTCCCTTGGTTTGATTCATTGTTGAATCACACCATCACCATAAACATTGTTGAAACAGTAAAGAAACATTATTGTACAAAGCAGTTCAAACATTGTTAGCAAGTCTGTACAGCTTTTCTGCCATTGTCTCTCCAGCATTGTTGCCCTTCTCATCGTGGTGCTCGTGGACATTGTTGCCAGAGACTTGCAGTTTGTAGAGCCATTGTTCTACTCTTGCGACTCTTCCATCTGATCGCTGGTCGATTGTCGAGGGCGTTTTGTGCCCTTTCTCCTCTTCTTCATCTTCTGACCTTTCCATATTGTTCTCATTGTATAGGACTGCTCGGTCCTCCCACAAGGAGATTGTCGAGTTTGTGGGAAGTCGACGCTGATTGTGGTAGTCCGGAATCGTCATCTCCATGGCCATTGTTGCCCTTGAAATTGTTCTCGAGAAAGTCGATCCCGATCGTCAGCGCTCGTGTGCCGGGAAGCGGCTGCGGTCAAAAGGATTGTTGACAAATTGTCAACTGAACATGCATTGTCTTCCAAATTCAGAAAGCAAAACTTCAAACACACTGTTCTACGAGTCGACGACAGAAAGATTGGATCCATTGTCAGACTGAAATCTTGTATACACATATTGTCTATGACATAGTATGCGCATAGTAGCTAAAGTAGTGTGCCATGGCTTGATGCCGCCGTGTATGTATTGTACACGCGTGGATGCTGCCATAGTTGTGAAACTGTTTGTGCGATCGCAGTTCAGTTGTGGTGTTGTGGGCATTGAATGCCCGCCATGTAGAGGTGTTTGTTAAGCACCTCTGCCGGGACATACTTTGTCAGTATGTCTGCTGGGTTGTCGTGTGTGCTGATCTTGTGTATTGACAGTACCCCGCTTTGTACCAGTTGTTGTATGAAGAGGTACTTCAGGTCAATGTGCTTTGCTTTCTTTGACGAGCCAATTCTTGTTGCAATGCTTTTGCCGCTTGTGCCGTCTGTGTGTATGCGAATGTTCACCTTTGTTGTTGTGGCTTCCTTGATAAAGTTTGCTATATGTAGTCCTTCTTGTGCTCCTGTGCCAATTGCAT